ATATGAGGGGGAAAATTTATTCTAATGGATCATAATGTCAGCTTAATTTCCTGGAATGTTAATAGTTTGAAAAAAATAGGTTAATGGATCTTCATGCATATGTTCATTCTAGTAGTATTGATGTCATAGCTGTGCAAGAGGTTGGAACAAACGGAATATCTTTGCAACTAAGAGGTTATCTAAGTTTTGAATTACCAGCTGATTTGACTGGAAATTGTAGAGGTTTGACGACTTGTATCAAAGATGATATTCCAGCATCATTTCATTCCGCTCTAAAAATACACGGTACCGAGTATGTGTGTGTTAGTATTATGCTTCAAGATGCTACACTGTTCATTATTAATGCTTATGTGCACGCTGATTCATTGACAGTTGATGATCTGCCGGACATTATTTTTGCTGATGATTGTTTACTAATTGGTGATTTGAACGCTAGGCACATCGATCTTGGCAGTAGAGGTTCTCAAAATCACAATGGAATGGTTCTGAAAAATATCTTAGACTCTATAGAAGATGCTAGGGTCCTTGGAGCTGGTGAGCCGACACATGTTAAAGAGGGTAGACTTGATTATGCAATACTTTTTAATATGTTAGATGTTCATGCAAATTTGGATATTGTGGATACGCTTTTGAGTGATCACTTTGCAATTAAAGTGAAGCTTCATTTGAACAAAAAATTTTATGTTAACAATAGAAAAAGGTATACAATAACAGTAGGCCAACATAGTGAATTTGTTGCAAAAGTCGGCGATTGGTATAAAGAGTACAAAAAGCTTGGAATTAAAGATGAAAACATATTTTATGATGATTTGTTAGGAGTGATTGCTTCCATTTTGAATAAGCCAAGGAAACCGTATGGAAATACAACAAAACCTAAGCCTAGGTATTATAATGATAAGATTTTAAAGGGGTGGAATAAGTTACTGAGGAAATGCTATAGTAAGTGGAGTAAAGATCCTAGCAATGAAAAAACCCGGGAAACTCTGATTGAAGTGGCAGGTGTGCACAACAGAGTTAAATCAGAAAGCCAGAAGTATGTATTGGAGTGGTTTTTTGAGAGAGATTGCTCAATCAAAATCTTTGAATCAGGTTTGGGATGGTGTGAATAGGGTAAGAGGAGTCAAGAAGAAATTTAATGTTCATCCCACTCCAAACGCCAAAGCTAATGAACTAATGAATAAGTGGGCGTATGCATCTAATTATGAGTGTCTCCCAAGTAATGTTCAGATTTGCTTGAGGAATTCAAGATTTATGAGGCGAAGGTTGGTGAATATCCAAAGTACTGTAAGTGAGGAAACCTGTGTTTCTTTTATTAAGGATGAAATTCTGAATGCTGTAAAGAAAGGGAAGTCTAGTGCTCCTGGCAGGGATGGCCTAACTTATGATGTTATCAATTATCTTATAAATATGGAGGCCAACCCAATTCTAGATCTCTTTAATTTGTTATATGAAAATGGAAGAATGCCAGTGAAATGGAAAATGGCACTCATTGTTCCTGTGCCTAAGGGTGATAGTGATTATAGACCCATAACCTTAACATCTTGTCTATCTAAAATGATGGAGCGAATGGTATTAAATAGACTATTGTATAAAATTGATGGTCTCTTGTCTAGTAATGTGTTATGATATTTAAAGGGTAAAAGCACTACAGTTTGTGTGATTAAATGTCTTAGTAATGCTAGTGTCAACTGTAGACTGTTTGTAGACTTTAAAAGTGCCTTTGATAAGGCAAATAAGGAAGTGATCATAGAAAGTCTTGTAAGTAAAGGTATAAAAGGGAAATTATTGATGTGGATTACAGATTACTTAACTAACAGAAAAGCGAGTGTCTGGTTTCAAGGTCATGAATCGGAAGAAAAAAGTCTAGGGTTGTGTGCCCCACAAGGTGGCGTTCTTAGCCCTATGCTTTTTAATATTCTTATGGACAGAATAGCAAGATACAAATTCCAGGGCGAGTCCCAAGTAATCATTTATGCTGATGACATTCTGATCCAACGTAAGAATGAGGAAGATATGTCTAGGGTCATTGATCAGCTGCAGTATCTTTGTCTCTCCTTGGGACTGGTCATCAATGAAAATAAAACCAAATTTTTGTCAAGGGCAGTAAATGGAAGAGAATTTTGGCTAAATTGAATAAAATTGCAAAAAGTATCCAGTTACAAATATCTGGGAATGTTTGTGGGCATAAATAATAATGTTAAGGATCAAATTACTTATGTCAAAAATATATGTACAGCGAGGCTAAAACCTCTCAAAAAGTTTTGTCAACTAGAGCAAATGGTGTTGGTATACCAGTTTTAAGATCTATGTACTTAAGTACAGTTAGGAGTATCATTGCTTATTCAGCTCCAGCTCTAGCTTCTTACCCAGGAAAAGATCTTAGGCCATTAGAGCTTATTCAGAATGAAGCAATGAGGATTGTGCTTGGTTGTCCAAGGACAACAAGAATAGAGGTTATGAGGATGGAGCTAAATGTCCCGAGCATAATACACAGAATTGGGGAGCTGACTGTCATTTCTACTCTAAGGCTTATTAGGAGTGGTGATGGGTAACTGAATTCTGCTGTTGATAAATTTACTAATGCAATTACTAGTAATTTTAAGATGATTATTATACTAAAAAACTTTTTCAGGTATTATGTGAATATAATATTGTAGATTTGTGTGTACCTTTGCCAAACAAAGTATATTTGAAACCCTGGTTCATGGAGAGAGTATCTGTGAGAATTGATAAGCTAGAGTTTAAAAAAAAGAGAATGTAATCCTTTTGAGTTACGGCAAATATTCCTTGAGAAAATATCTGAGTACCATAAGGAAAATGTTATTCATATGTACTGTGATGGTTCAGATAATGGGAATCGGGCCGGATGTGGCATTATTATTAGGGAATTTTTTGAATATGGTATTAGTGTTAAAGAAAGAATATCCAAGAGAATTAGGGATAAAAGTTCCAGCACCACTGCTGAACTTTATGCTATATATGTGGGACTTAAGAATGCTTTTGTGAGGAAAAAGACAGTTTTTGGGTTCGTTGACAGTCAAAGTGCTCTATTTTCTCTAAATTCTAAAGTGCCTCTTGATGATGATTTAGTTTTAAAATGTAAGAAGTGTATTCAGGACATAAAATCACTTAGATATGATGTTAGTTTTATGTGGATTCCATCCCATTGTGGTATTTATATGAATGAGGTTGCTCATGATTTGGCAAAGCAAGGGTGTGGCAAAGCAATGGTAGAATATGATTGTATTTTGGGTATTAAAATAATAAAATCTGTAATGGTAAAAATCCGACAGCAATGGGAAATGGACAATATTCGGAAAATTTTGAACAACGGCAGTAGTTGTTTGAAACATTATGTTCGAGTTTTGAATTCTACAAGTTCTACTTATGGTAAGGCTTCGGTTAAGTATGATACATTTGTGATGAGGCTACGCTTTGGATACAAATATTATTGGCAATATATTGAAGGAACTGATGGCATTCCTTGTAAACTGTGTGGCTATGTAAAGTCTCATACATTATATCATTACATTATGGAATGTAACTGTTTATCAGAATTTAGGGGTGATGGTATTACTAATATTACAGAGATGGTTTGTTATTTAATAAACAATAATATGGTTAAGAATATTATGAAAAAAAATTGTAAGTTTAACATAAGATTGTAGATTTTATGCATTGTAACCGCCAGTCAGGCGGTTAAAGGATATTTAGATTCTTCACGTAGTACGCGAACACTATAATTCGGTCAAACCTGTTGAATACAATTCATTTAGTATTTCAAGTAAGTCATACATAGGCACTCCTACATAAATGTTTAATCCAATATATATTTACATAACAATCATGGCTATGTAATTAGTCTAATCTTAACACTTTCAATGAGTACTCAATTTGCCATATTTTTATATTGTCACACTGATAAATGATGCAATGGACACAGTCTACCTGTGTACACAATAAGTACTAGTTAAACTTACGTGTTGAAAGTCTAGAGAGAAGCCAGGGTAGGTATTGACTCTAAGATATGGGTAGCTATACTAAAATGACCACCCTATAGCCTGGCCCCCTGACTGGTCAGCTATGGTTGAGTCAGGTGATTATAATTATACATAAACAAACTCCCTTCACACGCTCCAACCTCCTTCTGGGCCTCTCATCTCCACCATCTTCGTACTCTACATACTGCATACGGGCAGGCACACCCAATAAACATGACATGACTTACAGCCTAACATAATGTTTGTTTATGTGTTTCTGCTTGCGGTAACACCCACTCCGTTGAGCGTTTACCCTCAAAAGCATGTCAGGCCTTTGATACTTAATGCTTTGTCACGTTCTTGTGACCTTGCTGCCCTCAGGCTGATGGTATTCAACTTTAATTTTGTCATGTTCTTGTGACCATGCTGCCCTCAGGCTGATGGTATTCAACTTTAATTTTGTCACGTTCTTGTGACCATGCTGCCCTCAGGCTGATGGTATTCAACTTTAATTTTGTCACGTTCTTGTGACTATGCTGCCCTCAGGCTGGTGGTATTCAACTTTAATTTTGTCACGTTGTTGTGACCATGCTGCCCTCAGGCTGATGGTATTCAACTTTAATTTTGTCACGTTCTTGTGACCATGCTGCCCTCAGGCTGGTGGTACTTATCAGCTCCTTAGGACATCTCGGTCCTTTGACGTTCGGACATCACCGTCTTCATGTGTGGATACCCAATTCATTCTCGTGGCCGACTCCGTCAGCCCTTTCCATTGCTCCCTCCAACAAGCATAATTTTGTCACAGGTCGCAACATTGTGGATGTCGTCGTCTTAACCACTGCCTGTCGTACAAGTCCATCCTCGCCAGCCTTGACTTCCATCACTCGAGCAAGGTGCCATTTGTTGAGTGAACTATTTGCTTCTGCTATAATGATTAGGTCACCAGGGCGAAAGTTGCGCCGTGGTCTGAAATGCACTTGTCGAGTTTTGAGTTGAGGGAGGTACTCCGTCAGCCAGCGCTTACAAAATTGATTTGCAAGGCACTGAACATGCTTCCACACTTCTGTGGTATGATTCGCCTATTGACCTTCCACCTAAGGGAAGATTACCCTTTTGACTTAAGTGCAAAAGATCAGCAGGCGTGAGAGCCTTTGGTTCATTTGGAGTGTTTGGAACCGGGGTGATTGGCCTCTCGTTAACTATGGCTTCCACTTCACAGAACAGTGTTTGCAGACGTTCATCGTCTAAAACTTGTGAGCCCACAATCGCCTGCAGAACCTTCTTTACTGTGCGAATCTGCCTTTCCCATACTCCCCCCATGTATGGGGCAGCTGGTGGATTGAAGACCCAGTCAATATCTGCTTTCAGTAAGGCACCTCTGAGTCTGTCATCTTGCTCCCAACTTTTCACTGCCAGTTTGAGCTCTTTGGCTGCCCGTACCATGTTTGTCCCATTATCCGACCTAATACGCTCTGGTGTACCTCTGCGTCGTGAGAACCTTGTTATTGCGTTGAGGAAGGCATTTGCGTCGAATGAGGCCAAGACTTCTAGATGAACAGCCCTAATAGTTAGACATGTAAACAGACATCCCCAGCGCTTGACCTGTTTCCTCCCTACCTTGATAATGAATGGACCAAAACAGTCCGTTCCAGTGTAAGCAAATGGAGCCTTTCCAGGAGTGACACGATCTATTGGTAAGTCAGCTTGCCTTTGATGCCGACTTCTCCAGTTGTTCCGTCGGCACACTACACAGCGTCGTATGATTCTATCAAGCAAGCGTCTGCCCTGGGGAATCCAATACCTTTGCGCACGCCATCATGTGTTCTTGTCCGGCATGTCCGGCTCTCTCTTCGTGCATCTCCCGCACTGTGATTTCGGTGATGTGGTGGTCTCTAGGTAGCAAGATTGGCTCCTCACCACTTCGCCCAAGAAGGGTTCCTTTAATTCTTCCCTTTGATCTGAGCAACGTTCGCTCGTCCAAGTAAGGTTCCAGTTTATATAGCTTATTGTCCTTCAGCAGCTCACCCTTTATGACAGTTTGGATTTCTTTCTCATAAGCCTCTTTCTGCACCAATCTTATAATTGTCTGCTCAGCCGACTGTAGTTCCTCAGTGCTTAGCCTCTTCAGTTTGAGGCGCAGGTCTGCGGTCCTTGTACTGGATCCAAGCCACCAAATGAACCTTTTAATCCATGCCACCCCTTTCACCAAGCGGTACCATGATGAGTACCTGAGCCACAGTTTAGCGAGGGACCACTTTGACTGCTCGCTCACTGCCAGAGCAACTACAGATCTCTGGTGTACTTCTCGTTTCACCTCCAGTAAGTCGTTCAGAACTGCTGGCAGTTCCTTTCCCTTTGGCCACCATTCTTCAACACTGAGGAGAAAGTCAGGACCTCGTATCCACCGAGATCCTGCAACCAGGTCCAGGACAGGTAATCCCCTAGTTGCATCATCTGCTGGGTTCAGCGATGTGCCGACATGTCTCCACTGGTCAGTTCTTGACAGCTCTTGTATGACTGCTATCCTGTTGGCTACAAACGTTTGAAATCGTCTGCTCGAATTGGCGATGTACTGCAAGACTAGCATGCTATCCGTCCAAAAATAAGATTCGTGTATGGTCATTGTCATTTCTCGGCGAATCGTTCGATCAGCGTTCACTGCCAGGACAGCTGCACAAAGTCCCAGCCTTGGTATTGTCAGTTGCTTGAGTGGGGCCAGCTTGGCCCGTCCGTACACGAAAGAGCACTGGATACTTCCGCCAGAGTCTACCATTCTCAGATAGGTCACCGCACCGTAAGCAGCCTGCGAAGCATCGCAGAAGGTGTGCAACTGTGCTGAGATGATTTCTTTAGCACATGCTGTTTTTAGGCATCTGGGTACACTTAATTTCCCTAGGTGGGCCAGTTCTCCTAGCCAGGTGCTCCGGGTCGTGTGATTAACAGCCGACAAAGGTTCGTCCCACCCTAATCGACGCCTGCATTCACACTGAAATAATATTTTAGCCCTGATGATGAATGGGGCCACGAACCCCAGTGGATCATAAATAGAACTGACCAGGCTTAGTACAGTACTCCTCTCCTGGTCGCTGGCCTTGAGTATGATTGCACCTAGATGGCGAGCTGATCACCTTCCAGGAGCCACCTAACCCCCAGGGCTCGCTCCATTGGCAATTTGTCTTACCTCAGATCAATTTCCTTCAGTGCATTTTGCCTCTCCTCCGGTGGGATGGTAGCCAACACTCCTTTGTGATTACTGGCCCACTTAGTTAACCGATATCCTCCACACGCCAACAGTCTTCGAAGCTGACACGCTAACATTGATGCTTCAGTTGATGAGTCCAGCGACATGAGCAGGTCGTCAACGTAGAAGTTGACTTCCGCTTGCGCCACCATGTCGGGAAACTCGGATCTGTGGTCGTGAAATGTGCGCCGGAGAGCATAAGTTGCACATGAAGGGCTCCACACCCCACCAAAGATGTGCACCTTCATCCTGTAAGTTACTGGCTCTCTACTCAGGTCCCCATTCTACCACCAGAGGAATCTTAACGCATCTCGATGTTCTGGCGCTACATGGATTTGATGGTACATAGCCTCCACATCTGCCATGATGGCTGTAGTTCCTTGGCGAAAACTAAACAGGACTCCAAGTATTTTGTTGTTGAAGTCTGGACCTTGTAGTACCTGGCCGTTCAGCGATGTCCTTTTGTGTTTGGCTGCACAGTCAAAAACTATGCGTAGGTACTTTGTTTGGCTTATTTGGGTTCAACACCAGGTGATGAGGCAGATACCAGACCAGTACAGTATCTGACTCCAACTGGCACTTAGGCACTGATTCAGCATATCCTTCAGCAATCAGTTTATTTATTTCCTCTACTTATCCTTGTCGCAGCCATGCGTCCTTGGATAGTCTCCTTCGAAGCCCATCTAGTCGACGCTCCGCCACGGCCTTGTTGTTTGAGAGTTCCGTGTTCTCATTACGGAACGGCATGGGAAATTGGTAATGACCATTAGTTTTGATGCCTGTCTCTGACCATAGCCTCAACACTCTTTTGTCCTCAAGTGAATGAGCTGCTGACTGCAAAGCTCCTGTGTCCCCACTTTCCAGCTCCCAAAAAAGTTTAACTTGTCTTTCCAGACCGGTTTCAGGACTCACGACAGTTTCGGTCATCAGGCATCCTGACATGCAAACTCCTTGTGCGTCTTGGTGCCCCACCGGTCCATTCACTGTCCAACCCAGTCGCGTTTTTATGGCGAATGGCATTCCATCCCTTCCTGCTCTGACCTCCAAGGGTACCAGGGCCTGTGGCACATCTTGTCCTATCAGAATTTTTATGCTGTTGCTCTGCAATTCTGGTAATTCCACATCTCGCAGATGGGTCCACCTTGAGATATCACTTGTGTTCGCTACGGAGTTGTGCAGCGTTGTGGGGAAATTTTGTATAATGAGTACTTTTGGCATAAGTATGGTTCTGCCTCGTTTCATGCCTGCGCCAACCACTTCTAGATCTACCTCCGCTGACTCGAGTATCATCTCTTGGGCAAGTCTACCCATGGTTACCAGGGTAGGTGTCCCTTTCACCCTAAGTTTCTGTGCCAGATCTTTGGTGCAATACGACCTGTCGCTGCCTGAGTCCAAGAGAGCTGAAGTTCTGATGTGATTTCGTTGGTGTGAGTCCTTTCCCTGAATCTTCACACTCATTATGGGCAGTACAATCTTGGCATTTTTCGTCGATAGTCAGATGTCGCTTTCGCAGCTGTATGGGTTTTCATGGCCGTCCTTTGTCCCTGTAGCATAGACATGGCCTATTTTTCCGGCCATGTACGAACTGTCGTTGGCTTTCTGGGCCATGCCACCATCAGAGGTGCCTGCCATTGACTCCTGTTTCACGAGACCTTGAAAATTTCGCTTTACGCCACCCTTGCATGTGTTTGACATACTTGCAGTAAGTGCCTCCCTTCGTTCTTGATGCAACAGTCTAGAATGCTTCTCTTTGCACCCATCAGTGCCACACCTGAAGCGTGACCAACACTCAGCAACAAGGTGGCCCACTCTCAGACACAAGAAACAGCAACGTAATCTTTTTACCCTCTCTAACCTCTCCCTCACTGACATGCTCCGGAATTTGTCGCACCCTGCTAATCCATGTGCTCTGGAATACACTGGGCACGAGCCTTTTCCAGAGCTTGTTTCTCCTCCATTGCCTTTCGCTTCACTGATAGTCACTAGGCCCACGGCACGTTTGCTTGATGATGATCCTTCTGGTCTTTTCTTACTTCCTTCTTGACTGTCCTCGCTTGATAGCAGAGCCATGTCATCCATCGTCACCGCTTTCTCCTCCAAATAAAGCGCTAACCACTTCACCAGCCCCGTTCTGTGTCCTGTAGACTTCTGATAATTCCGTACATCATCCACACAGCGTTTCCTCAATTTGGGGGGAAGCTTAATCACTAGCGTTCTGAAGGTCTGCCTTGATTCAAGTTCAGACATCAAGTTCAGATTCTCCAGATGGCTTACTGCACCCCATAGCTGAGATGCCAGTTTTCTCAGCCGTTCGTCGTCGAACGCCCCACTGAGCGAGCGTCTATGAGCCTTTTCACCAGCTGGTCCGCATATGCATACTTATCTCCAAACCTTGCCTCCAGGATCTTGATTGCCTTGTTGTAGGCTCTGTCTGGCTCAAGATAGTCGCATCCCATGATTGCTTGATGTAACTCTTCTCCTTCACAAGCATCCATGAGCAGTTGGTACTTGTACTTCTCTAGCACGGCCGCATTTGTCACGTATCGACGGAAGGCATGCATAAAGGTCCAAAACTCCGCCCGCCCTTGTCCTTTAAACTTGGGAAGGGTGGCTTGCGGCATGCGCATCGTAGCCACTAACTCTCTTATTTCTTCACCCTTCCCTGAGTCTCCCTGTGGATGCATAATTGTGACTTGAGGCGCTTTGTTTGCAAGCATTGGCGGTAAAGACGATGCCATTTTCTCGACATTGACCAATGCCTGTTGCTGGGTTTCTTCCCGTACTATTGGCTTCTCATAATTGCTGGAGTTCCCTGTCGAAGGCTGTGAGCTGTCACTTCGTGTTAGTGCTGATGTCTCTTGACCCGCCACCATTCCAGTGTGCATCGTTTTCATCCACCCTGCCTTAAGCTCTCGCAGGGCTCGGTTTACTTCATCCGACGCTGCCTCAGCTCCCACTGCTTGTTGATAATCCAATTCCATACTGTGACCTTCCCGTGGATCTCCTGGTATTGCAAGCTCATTTCCTGTTTCACCACTCTCTGATTGTACCTCTGCGGGCGGATCCATTGTCATTAGGTCAAAATGTTTGCTTCCATCTAGGTCCGACTCTCCTTCCATGTCATCAATATACCCAATCTCCGACATCTTGCTTATTCAGGTAATTTGAATTGCGTTCGTTTCCACCACTCATAAATCAGGGCACGTTCGTGTGCCTCGTCTCACTAAAATTATCAGGGCACGTTCGTGTGCCTTGACTTGTACTCATTTATCAGGGCACGTTCGTGTGCCTCGTCTTACACGCGCACCTGATATCATACAAACTTTACATTGATATTTGGGTTATTTACAAAGCAATATCACCTCAGTCAACTATGACTGCTAATTGTGTTCTGCACTTACGTCAGACAACAATAATGACATGTGTTTTCATTCTCATATGCACTACACTGGGAGTGATGAAGATCACCCAGACAAGACTATTTTCTGGACTAACAAGGTTTAACTATTATCGATGCGAGAAGTATACGGACGTTGCACTGTAATCCGTGGTACTGGGAACACGCACGCGCGCGCGCACGCACACACTCACGCGCATCCCTCCAGTGGGTTGAGTTGAGTTGACCTTGGTTACTCTGCTGCCCACACGTTGGTTCAAGCTAGCACTGCTACACAGTAGACATCCACGTTTGACTGTAACCGCCAGTCAGGCGGTTAAAGGATATTTAGACTCTTCACGTAGTACGCGAAAATTATAATTCAGTCAAACCTGTTGAATACAATTCATTTAGTATTTCAAATAAGTCATACATAGGCACTCCTACATAAATGTTTAATCCAATATATATTTACATAACAATCATGGCTATGTAATTAGTCTAATCTTAACACTTACAATGAGTACTCAATTTGCCATATTTCTATATTGTCACACTGATAAATGATGCAATGGACACAGTCTACCTGTGTACATTATAGGTACTAATTAAACTTACGTGTTGAAAGTCTAGAGAGAAGCCAGGGTAGGTGTTGCCTCTAAGATATTGGTAGCTATACTGAAATGATCACCCTATAGCCTGGCCCCCTGACTGGTCAGCTATGGTTGAGTCAGGTGATTATAATTATACATAAACAAACTCCCTTCACACGCTCCAACCTCCTTCTGGGCCTCTCATCTCCACCATCTTCGTACTCTACATACTGCATACGGGCAGGCACACCCAATAAACATGACATGACTTACAGCCTAACATAATGTTTGTTTATGTGTTTGCTGCTTGCGGTAACATGCATATCTATTTGTTGTATACATATCTGATTTATGATTAGTAGAATGTTAAAGAGCTCCTGTTAAGACTAGTTTTGGGCGGGCTAGTTAACATGCTTACCAGCTCCTTTTGATGTAATTGTCAATAAATGTTTTGAATTTAAATTTGAATTTGAATTTGACTACATCAGCACATCCTAGCTCATTTTTAAACAATTCACTGTAGTTTTCTAGGATAGTGGAAACATCTGGAACAATTTTAGAGGCATGAAGTTGATTTACAAAAAAAACCCACATCTTTCCAATCAGGTACCAGTTTGAACAACCTGTTCCTTCCTAGCAAAGCACATAAACCTTTTGGAGCAATCACTAGTGGAAGTTTAAACTGCTTTCCTTTGTAATCAATTTCCACTTCTATTTCACCTAATGGTTTAAGGTTTTCACCAGTATAAGTGGGGAGACGTAACCTTGGATGGCTTTAATTGTAATCTAGAAAAATATTTCTCATACAAGTCCTTAGGGACAATAAAAATGGCACAACCTTTTTTCTTTTTTCTTTTTTAAGGGGATTAGCCCACTCGGGCATAGGTCACTGACCCACATCGGGACCTAGGGAGCGAAAATTTAATAATAGTAATTCATAGTAAATAAAATTTATAATAAAAAGTAAAATAAAATAATAATACTACTACTACTACTACTACTACTACTAATAATAATAATAATAGTAATGATAATAACAACACTGTAATAATGATAAAAAAGAAAAGAAAAATACTAATCAATAGTGAGAAACGCTATATGTATAGTATGTTGTGTCGTCAATAGTAAGAGAAACAATTGAGATCCTGCAAATGTGTGTAAATGAGGCAGAAAGACAGATCAGCAACCTGGGACTTGGTCACAATATTCGTGATGCCATATGGCAGCAGGGTCTACCATTAGACAACACATTATGCTTCCAATATCTTCCCAGGCGGTA